TGGGAAATGCCAGGAGCATCCAGCCGCCCCCTCCACCAGCTGAGCCGAGCGTGACTAACGGCCCCGTGCCGGCTCCTGGCGCGGCTCCGGCGGCAGCCGCTGCCAGCGGCGGGATGGCGCTTCCCGGCGTGCCAGCACCGGCACACGGCCGTCCCCGTGCCCACGGGACACCTGCCCAGGGCTTCTCTGGCACTGCCACTGCAGCCCCTTGGGAGGGACCAACCAGGTCCTTATCCCTAGGGATGGGTTCTAGAGACCCTCAGGGCTTGGCATTCCGGTTGTGTTCCTGCGCCCCTGCCTGGGGAAGCTGGTGGGAAGATTTTGGGGGACCTCTGCTCCTGTCCAGCCACATCTGAGCCATCTGAGTTAACTCATGAGCCGGCACCTCCCCGGCCTCATCCCACTGCACACGAGCCCACAGTGCCACACGGATCGGGATCAGTCCGGTGCTCCACATGGATGAGACTGGACCAGCGGCAAGGGCTCCCGGTTCTGTCCTGCTCGGCACCTGCAGAGCTCTGCTGCTGCTGCCCCCTTCAATCTCAGGCATTCAGGAGCCCCCCAGGAGTCAGGATCCGAACCTGCGCAGGGACAGTGCCGACTTTCCAAGAAATGCGGCTGCTGCACATCGCCAGGGAAATTCCAGCGGAACGGCGAGCCCGCGGCGGCTGCACTGGGTGAGCCGGCAGCACCATCTAGTGGGGCTGCTGCCCTGCATCCTGCCCGGATCCCACAGCCCCCACAGCCTCTCACAACCCACCAGGGATAACCCCCACGCGGCTTCATCCCCCTCCCACATCGGCTGTGCCCTCCAAACCACAGCGGGGCAGGAGTATCACGGCATCCACGTGCCAGAAACACAGGCAGGGGATACCTCAGCTCTCAGGAGCCTCAGCTCCCCACAGAGCCCCACAGCACCACACCAGCACCCCCCAGGAGTGGGGCTCAGCAGCATCTCCAACCCATGGGACAACAATCCCCCCAGGAGCAAGCAGTGGGAATCCACTCCCAGGGCAACCAACACCCTGGGAGTGGTGGGAATCAATCTGTGGGGCAACCATCCCCCTGAGAGCAGTGGGAATCAACCCACGGAGCAACCATCCCCTGGGAGCGGGGCTGTGCTGTGACGCCATGCAGGCCAAGAGCATCCCTGTGGCCCCCCAACAGCGGGGGTGAGGTGCCAGGGCACCCACCAGCCCATCCCTAAGAACCACAGCCCCTTCCCCTTGTGGCTCCCTCCCTTTCCACCTCCTCCCACCACAGGCCTGCTGGACGTCCCGGTGTGCACCTGGTTGGTCGTGCACCACGATCCACGGCAAGATGGGAAAACCCTCTGGGGTTTATCCAAGCCCACAGAGCGGTCAGATACGGAGTTGAGCACCTGCCCTCCACCCCCAATCCAGGACTGTCCCTTCCCAGCACCACCTGCCTCACCCTGCCCCTCACCTTGGCCACAAACTGCTTGTCCTTCTGATCCAGGTTTGCTGTGGGGGCCACGTAGTCCCTCCAGATCCTCAGTTTGCGCTCTTTGGCGAACCTGCAGGGGAGGGGACAGTGGGACATCGGGGTCTGCTGGGGATGGACATGCCGGAGGTGACATCCCCAGCAAAGCCCTGGCTGGGACAGCGGGGCTGAAGAGGACTTGCAAGGGGAGGTCACATCAATCCCACCTGGGAGAGCACTGGATGACCCCCACGAGGCTGGGAAGGCCCCCCTGGGAGCAGGTGGGAGTCGCCCACGCCAGCCCCCCAGCCCACACCCACCTTTCGGCCGCACGCAGCTTGTCGGCCCCACGGGTGTACACGGCGATGGACCAGTCCACACACCGGGCAAAGCCCTCCTTCAACAGCAGCTCTGTGATGTTCCCGTTCTGGGGGGAAGGGGAGGAGGCTCAGGGTCAGAACTGAGAACAGGGTATTGGACACCCACCCCTGTCCCTGCCCCGCTGCGAGAGGGGAGCTCGCCCGCCCCGTGCAGCCCCTTCCACATCACTGGTCCCCAAAGCCCCCTGCGAGGTCTGGGCACAGCTCCCAGTGCTAGTGGAGACCACCCCAGCGACACCCACAGGGCTCAGCTCTCCTCAGATGGAACAGGGTCTCCCACATCCACCAGGAAGAGCCCACGACCCCCAGTTTCCCCACGGGAAGCACCAGGATCTTGCCCTTTAGAGTCACCAGCAGCGATGCCTGACAGCCCCCAGGACCCTGCCCCCCCCCCAGCCCCACTTGCCGGGTGCAGGATGGTGCCCAGGATGTTCTGGTTGTGGCAGCTCTCCAGGACAATCTGCACGTCCCTCTGCAGCAGCCGGGACTCCGTGAAGAACTTGGCTTCGGCCGCAAACGGCTCCGGGACCTCGGGAGCGTCGGCCTCGCGCTTGAACGTGGGGCACTGCGGCACAGGGGGACAGTCAGGGCACGGGATGGCCACTAAAACCTCGGGAAGGGAGTGGGAAACCTCCCTGGGGAGGGGACTGCACTCAGCCCCGTGCTCAGGGTGTAGTTTGGGGTCTGTGTGTCCCGATGCTTCAAGTTGTGTTCCACTGACACAGCCCTGCAACCGCCCCAGCAAACACTGCCAGCAGCAAACTGGGACACAGGGACCAACTCCAGCTCTGGGATGCCAGGATAAGGACGTGGAGGTGCTGGGGAGAGTCCAGAGGAGGTCACAGAGATGCTCCAAGTGTTGGAGCCCCTCTGCTCTGGAGCCAGGTTGGGACAGCTGGGGGGGTTCACCTGAAGAAGGTTTCAGGGAGACCTGAGAGCCCCTGTCAGCACCTAAAGGGGCTCCAGGAGAGCTGGAGAGGGACTGGGGACAAGGGATGGAGGGACAGGACACAGGGAATGGCTTCCCAGTGCCAGAGGGCAGGGACAGATGGGATATTGGGAAGGAATTTCTCGCTGAGAGGGTGGGCAGGCCCTGGCCCAGGTTGGCCAGAGAAGCTGTGGCTGCCCCTGGAAGTGTCCAAGGCCAGGTTGGACGGGGCTTGGAGCAGGTCCAGTGGAAGATGTCCTGCCCATGGTAGAGGGTAGTAGTGGATGGGCTTTCAGGTCTCTTCCCACACAAACCACTCCATGATTCCACGAACTTCCAGCATAATTATGAGCAGGGTGCCCAAGAGCCCAGAGCTCGGGCTCTGCCCAGCCTGACAGCTAGTACCCACCCAACCCAAACTGTGCCCATCCCCACAGTGACACCCAGGGTTGCACCCAGCCTAGAACTGCATGTACAGCAGGCGACAAGCACGTCCCTCCATCCCTCCCTCCCTCCCTCCCTGCTCCAGCCCCGTGAGCTGGGCAGCCACAGGGATCGGAGCAGCCCCTTCACTCCTGCCAGGACGTGGAATGGAACGCTGGTGACAACTGCAGAGAGAATGTGCTGCAGGGAGGGCAGCAGGGCCCAGGGCTCACCTTGATGCCCGAGAGCATGACGGTGACCAGGTAGTAGTCGGGCAGCAGCAGGGCCCTCACCACGCTGCCGTCCCGCACGTGCTCGATGATGGCTGCGGAGCAAGGCATGCATCAGTCCCCCTGTGCCGGGCCCCGGGAGCCCAGGGGTGCCACAACAGCACCAGGCATAGGCAGCCAGCCCCTGACACCACAGAGGGGGGAGGACACGGTGACTCCGTGCCCTCCTCTCCGATGCCACCTTACCATTGACCGGCTTCTGGTGCAGGGAGTCCACGAAGTGCCGGGGGTTCTCGATGGTGTACTTGAGGTCCCGCACGGTGTGGGACCCCGTGCCCTCGCTCCACATCCCCTTCTTGGCGCTCTTGGCCTGCTCCTCCAGCTCTGCCAGCCGGCTCTGCTCGGGGCTGAGGGCACAGGGACGTGGGGTGAGGCTCCCGCGGGGTTTATCCCGGGAACATCCATCCCTGCCCGGGTGAGCGACACCCCGGGAACCGCAGCGGTGTCCTCCGGCACCATCCGTGTGGGAACAGGGGCTGGGAGCCTCATCTCCCACACACACTGGGGAGACTGAGCCTGTGGGAACCTTCCAAAGGCTGCCTTGGTGCGCCACGATGGAAAAACAGCAGCATTCCCGGCCCCCAGCAGGGCAGAGCAGGCTCAGGAGAGGAGGGACGGCAAACTCGGGCACGTGCTGTGCCAGCCCACGGACCAGCCCAGTCCTGCACACACAGGTGGCCACTGAAGGGCCACCAAAGTGACAACTATCCCCTCCCAGTGTTGACATCAGCCCTGCCACAACAAATTCAGGGATATTTAACAGGTTGCCCAGAGAAGCTGTGGCTGCCCCTGGATCCATGGAAGTGTCCAAGGCCAGGTTGGACGGGGCTTGGAGCAACCTGGGCTAGTGGAAGGTGTCCCTGCCCATGGCAGGGGGTGGCACTGGATAGGCTTTAAGGTTCCTTCAACCCAAACCATCCTGGGATTCCCTGATCCTCCAAACGAGGCTGGCCCTGCCCTGGAACTGAGCCACACCTCTGGAATGGGATCCCAGGTGCAGGACAAGGGGCAGGAATGTCACCACTACCTCTCTAGCTGGAATTAAAGCACCTCAACTCCACACCAAGTGTGACTGCACAGAGACCAAGAGCTCCAGAACATTCCCTGCTCCGCAGCCCAGGGACACAGCTCTGGCACTTTGGCATCCCAGGAAAGGAGCCAGACGGGCCCTCCTGCCCAGCCCCTCCACATCCCAACCCTGATGGGACACTGGGAATGCTTGTGGAACCACAGGGAGCTGGGCAGCAGGGCCTGGTGCCAGGCCAAAGCCAAGGAGAACCTCGGGATGGGAGCCCCGTGCGTACTTGTTGGCCCGGATCCCTTCCCGACGGGAGGCAAGTCCTTCGGCCACCAGGGACTCGGCGATGTTCTCACCACTCGTGTCTGTGGAGAGAGCAGAGCAGTCAGGGAGAGGAGCCACTGGCACACAGGGTCAGCCCAGAGGGACGTGGACCTCAGTCCTGGCAAGCATTCCCAGGGCGATTCCAGGTAGCAAGCGCTGGAGCAATCCCCAGCTGGAGCCTCACGCAGATGCCACACAGCTGCCAGGGAAACTGTCACAGCATTCCCACATTTATAGTATTTAAACCCTGACAAATTTCATCAGGAAGCGTTTTCTGCCTCATTTCTCCCCTCCTCGCCTGCCAGGCTGGGCTGGAACAGGGATGGGGAGGCCCCGGCGCGGCAGCCGGAGAGGCTGCGCTGGGCTGAGGAAGCACCAACAGCAAAACCTCTTCCCCAGCTTTTTTTTGGTCCCAGGCTGTGTCTCCAGGGCCTGCCCAGGCTGAAGGTCAGCCCTGGGGGGTCTCAATCCTGGTTGGTCTCAATCCTGGAGGTCTTTTCCAACCTAAATGACTGTGATTCCAATCCCTGCCTCTCCAGGAGGGGATCCCCATCCCAGAGGGCTTCCCAGACCCCCAGCAAGCTGGAAGTTCAGGAATGCATCACAGAATGTCCCGAGCTGGAAAGGACCCACCAGGATCATGAGTCCAACTCCTGGCCCTGCACGGGACACCCCAGAATCCCACCATGTCCCTGAGAGCCTTGTCCAAGCATTCCTTGAGCACGGAGGTGACTTTGATATCCACGCATTCGTGGTCTCAGGGGAGGGTCCCACTCCCCTTTCCTGCAGCCTGGGGACCACGGGGGTCTCGTGTTCCTGTGCTGCAGTGGGACCCCCAAGGGGACACAGGAGATGCTGCCTGGAGTGTGCTGGATGTAGCAGGCAATGGGAATTCAGCTCTGGTGCTGGTGGAAAGGGGGTCACACCTTGGCCACATCCAACTGAGCCCCAACTGGGAGGATCAGCTGGGTCCTGGTAAGCATCCGCTCATCTCAGGAACCCACCCATGCCGAGATCTCATTCCCCTTCTTCAATCCCGAGGGAATTCTGAGAGGAACAGAGCCGGCAGCACGATGTGGTCACCTCCCAGCCCCTCTCCCACCAGCCTGGGCGATGGCTGAGGGGCAACCACAGGGAGCGGGAGCCCCAAAACCCATCCAAGCATTCTCAAGGGAGCTGCTTCCTTTTGGGAATCTCAGCCACAGACAAGCAAGGGATTTAGAACAACAAAAAGGATGGAAGAGGGAAACCTGTGGGAATTCACCCGATGCCCACGTCCATGAGCCTGGAGCTCCGGAGAGCACGGCTGTGCTCCGGCTCTGCACCGGGACCAGCACCGGGCATCGCTCCCCTCCCAGAGCTGGGGTCCGTGGAAAAGAGGGAATGCATCCTTCCGCTGCCAACAGTGCACCCCAACACCTCCACTAACCCACTCTGTTCCCCCTCAAAGAAATCACAGGTGGTTTTCCAGCTGGATTCATGCTCAAGACCCCCCTCAGCCGAGCTCCAGGAAAGCTTCTGGGGCAGAGGGAGCAGGGCTGGACGTCACTCCCCTCCCAAAGCCGAGTGTCCACGGAAAAGTGACGGAAAAGTGGGAACGCGTCCTTCTGCTGGCAGCGCATCCCAACTCACGCTCTGCCTGTGCCCCCCAACCCTCCCCTCGCCCTCCCCCAGCCCCCCCCCAGCTCACCTTTCCCCAGGTACACCATCCCATACTCCCGGCCCTGCGGGGTCTTGTACTCCACGGTGAAGCAAACCTCCTTCCCGATGAGCTTCTTCCGCAGGAACTCCCGGGCCGGGAAGCCCCAGGGCTGCAGGGAAAGCGGTGAATGTGAGCCGGGGAGGGACCCAGAGCCCTCCTGCTCTGCTCCACGGGTGCTCCAGGGCTGTGCCAGAGCCTGCCTGCAGCCCACGAGGAACCAACTCCTCGGGAGAAACACCCCCACTCCCCAGAGGGGTCACGGGTGGACTTCCAGCTGGGCTTGTGCTCCCCAAAAACCGAGCTGAGCCCGGGAAAGCTCCTGGGGCAGCGGGAGCGGGGCTGGAGCCGCCCCAGCTCCCACGAACACCCTGGGGGCTGTGTGGGAGCTGTGGGGAGGAGCAGGGCGGGATGTGCCTGGCCAGGGGAGCAGGGCTCTGCCAGCCCCCTCTGTGCCCAGCAGCGGGAAGGTTCCGAGCCCCGGGAGCTCAGCCCCGCTCCAGCAGCGGGTGGGCGGGAGCGCGGGCCGGGGGAGGGAACATGACGTGCTCATAAACAATTAGCAAACCTGACAGGCGTAATTTTTGAAAAGAGTGACATTTAAAGGCTGTTTAGAAGACAAAACTCCCCAGGGAGAGCAATTAACTGCCAGCGCTCCGCGCCACCCCCGGGCTGGCAGGAGGGGGGCCGGGGCCGCTGGGGTGGGGGGCTGGGCCGGGGTCCCTTGGGAACAAGCCCCCCCGAGCCCCAAACCACCCTCCCTGAGCCCCAAACCAAACCCATCAAGCACCTAATCACCCCTCCCGAGCCCCAA